TTGTCGGGGTTCCCGTTTTTGGCTGGTATGCTGCGGAAACTACGGAGCGAGCCAGGTGATGTTAGTAGGTTGCCTGGTATGTATGCTTCTTGATGGTAATGAACCTGAGGCACAGGGAGACTCGGGTGCTCGGTCGGTCTTAGTTAGGGCTTTGCGGAGCTGACGTTAGTAAGGCCCGAGGGCCTAAATTCGGAGTGCCGCAGAGTCCACGCTAGTAAGGCTTGAGGGGCATGAGCTTGGAGTGTCGCGGAGTTGACACGGGTAGGGCCTGATTGGCCCAAGTTTGGGGTGCTGTGGAGTTGACATTAGGAAGGCCGGAGGGCCCAAGTTAAAAAGGTCGCGTAGTCGACACTACGGGGGCCGGAGGGCCCTAGTTTGAGGTGTCGCGGAGTCGACGCTACGGGGCTGGAGGGCCCTAATTTGGGGTGTCGCGGAGTCGACGTGAGGGGAGGCCCGAGGGCCTAAATTCAACGTGTCGCGGAGTCGACGATACGGAGGCTGGAGGGCCTAAATTCAACGTGCCGCGGAGTCGACGTTACGAAGGCCGGAGGGCCCGGGTTTGGGGTGTCGCGGATTCGACGTTAGGAAGGCCGGAGGGCCTAAATTCAACGTGTCGCGGAGTCGACGATACGGAGGCTGGAGGGCCTAAATTCAACGGATTAGGCCGGAGGGCCCTAGTTTGGGGTGTCGCAGAGTCGACGCTACGGAGGCCGGAGGGCCCTAGTTTGGGGTGTCGCGGAGTCGACGTGAGGAAGGCCCGAGGGCCTAAATTCAACGTGTCGCGGAGTCGACGATACGGAGGCTGGAGGGCCTAAATTCAACGTGCAGCGGAGTCGATGTTAGGAAGGCCGGAGGGCCCTAGTTTGGCGTGTCGCGGAGTCGATGCTACGGAGGCCGGAGGGCCCGAGTTTGGGGGTGTCGCGGAGTCGACGCTACGGAGGCTGGAGGGCCCAAGTTTGGGGTGTCGCCGAGTCGACGTTAGGAAGGCCGGAGGACTCAAGTGCGGAGTGTCCCGGAGTAGACGTTAGGAAGGCCTGAAGACCCGAGTTCGCGGTGTCGTGGAGTCGACGTTACAAAGGCCTGATGGCCTAAGTTCACGGGGTACCGGAGTCCACGCTATCGAAGCCTTGAGGCCCAGTTTCGGGACGTCCCGGAGTAGACGGGGGGGGGCCTTAGGACCTTCATTAGGGTTGGGGAGTCGGCGGGACCGTGGCCTGATGGTCTCATCCGGGGCGTGTGGAGTTGGCGTTTTAGAGGTCTGAGGGCTCGAATTCCTGGTGTTACGGAGTCAATGGAGGCCGTGGGGTGGGGGTTGTAGACTTGACGCTATTGACACCGGAGTGCCCAAGTTCGGGGCATCGCGGAGTCGATGCTAAGGAGGCCTGGGGCCTCATTCGGGGTGTCGCAGAGTTGACATTAGCAAGGCCTGATGGCCTGATTGGGTCCCGCGGAGGTCAGGTTAGTAAGGCCGGATTGGCCTAGGTTTAGCGGGTTGCGGAATTGATGTTATGGAAGCCGGAGGGCCCAAGTTTGCGGGTGGCGCGGACTCTATGTTAGGAAAGCCGGAAGGGCCTAGTGCCGGGTGTCGCGGAGTTGACATTAATACGACCGGAGGCCTAAGTTTAGGGTGTCCTGGAGCGCATGCTACCAAAGCCCAGGGGTCCAGATCCGGGGCGTTGCAGACTGCATGTGATGCGACCTGAGGGCCTACATAAGGGGTAGCGGAGTCAGCGTAAATGCGGTCTGATGGCCCGATCCAGGGGTGTGTGGGGTCGTCGTCTTTGGGGCCGGAGGGCGCGGATTCGAGGTGTTGCGGAGTCATTGTTAGTCAGGCCTGATAGCTTGAGATCGGGGTGTCGCGGGGCAACACTAGCAGGGCCCGAGGGTCCGAGATCAAGTATCGTGAGGTCCAAGTTAACAAAGCCTGAGGGCCCACATTATGGGCGTCGAGAAGTTGAGTTACTAAGGCCTGAGTTCGGGAGTCGCGAGGTTGAGGTTACTGAGGCCGGAAGGTCCTGGGGCGGAGGTCGCGGAGTCGGTGTTAAGGAAGCCTGGGGGTCTAAGTTCGGGGTTGTGGGGTTAACGTTACCGAGGCATATAGACCCAGAGGGACGTCGCGAAGTTGACGTCTTGGGTCAGAGAACCCAGATTTGATGTGTTGTGGAGTCTACTTCACTGCGGCATGAGGGCCTGATCCGAGTAGTTGAGGGGTTGACGTTGGTGGCGCTTCAGGGTCCAAGTGTGGGACTTGGAGGAGTCAACGAGAGGGCACCCTGATGGCCCTGATTCGGGTTGTCGCGAGGCCCGGAGGCCCTGAACTATGGAGACCTAGGCCCCGGATTCGGGGTGTTGCGGACTTGACATGCAGAACGCTTGGTGGCCTCGGGTCTCGTGCAGGCGACGTTGTGCAGTCGACATCGTGCAGTCTACGTCGGTGGGGCCTGATGGCCCAAATCCGGGGTGTCAGGGGTTGATGTTATTGAAGCCTGAGGGCCCAGATTCCGAAGCGTTGCGTGCATGACGGGCAAGAGGGCTGATGACCCAGATCGGGGGTGTCGTGGAATCGATGTTAGTGATGGGCCTCGGAGCCACCTTCGAGGCATCACGAACTCTGTTGGCCCAAGGTCGGGCCTCGTGAGATGGATGTTACTGAGGCCGGAGGGCCTGGAAATCGGGTGCTGCGAGATTGACGTGAGTGGGGCCGTCCCACCTGGCCTGGCGTAGCGGTGCGGAGCCAGGATGGCGTTGGACTATCGTTATTGGGGCACCCTGGCCCGGATTTGGGCAGCTCAGAATCATTGTTATCGGGGCCTAGGGGCCCAGATGCGGCCGCTGCGAGATTGATTTAGTGGGACCTAACGGCCCGGAGGTAGGATTGTCTCGGAGTTAATGTGCGAGAGGTGCCTCGGGGATCTTACTTAAGGCGCACCTCTGGATGCTATAAGGACATTTGTTCCCATGCTTGGCCCGCGTGTTTCAGGCGAGAACGACCGGGACCGCAAGGTATTTCCTCCTGAAGTTCGCGGGTCACCGTGGACGTGGGCTCAGGTGATGTGCGGGCAGGACCGCCCGTTGGCCGGAGCCGTGAAGGTGCTCACCCTCTGATGGAAGAGGCGGCAGCGGAGGCGGCTGCGGACGGAGTGGAGAGGCCTGCGGAGAGAACGCAGGCGGAGCTTAGCCGGTGAGCTTAGCCGGCGAGTCGCCGGTGGGACGGCCTGATGGCCCAGGTTCTGCGTGTCGTGGAGTCGATGTTAGCGCAGCCTGATGGCCCAGGTTCTCAGTGTTGAGGAGTCAACATTAGCGAGGCCTGACGGCCCGGGTTCGGGGTGTTGTGGGGTCGATGTTAATGCAGACTGATGGCCCAGGTTCACAGTGTTGAGGAGTCAACATTAGCGAGGCCTGAAGGTCCAGGTTCGGGGGTCGGGCAGTCCCTGTTACCGAAGCCGGAAGATCCAGGTTCACAGTATCGAGGGGTCAACATTAGCGAGGCCCGATGGGCCAGGTTCACAGTGTCGAGGAGTCAACCTTACCGAGGCCTGATGGCCCAGGTTCACAGTGTTGAGGAGTCAACATTAGTGAGGCCCGATGGCCCAGATTCGTGGTGTCGCCGAGGCGATGGTAGTGAGGGGCCGGGTGACACATGCGGAGATGAATGTACTAAGAGTGCATGGGCCGATGTTTGCACATTGTTCAGGTCGCTGAGCGCACTGACTGGTCTATCCTCAGATTGACAGTGCTGGCTGCGATGATGCGGATGTCCGGTAGGAGGTCAAAGAGCTCATTAAAGAGTGAGAAGATGGACCATGCTGGGGGGCCTCAAATTTGACTGAGGTGAGCCTGGATCGCTCGTGCGAGGAAGCTATGCATGCAACCGAGGCTAGGCTCGAAGGCCCTTATGAGGATGTCACTATTCCGGTAAGTTGAGACTTCTCCACATGAAACGACCGGAGGAATAAGGTATTATCTATGCAGCGAGGAGCCCAACGGGCCACATCTGGATAGCCCGAAGAATTCAGGCTATCCACTTCTTTCTTAGCCGCAGCTCGGCAACTTCCGAATCATACCTTGCCGCCAGTGACAATTTCATACCGGACGTCGTCCACTCTCCGCTGGACGTCACCCTGCAATACATAAGCGTTACCAAATTTCGCCTTTGTTGCCGCGTTGGTGGACGACTATAATTCCCACAATTCCCATGCAGGTGAGTTCGAGACTCGTAACACCACCGGCCACTTGCCCAGGAACTGCGGGTGGGTTGGCTGGGGGAGGCATTTAGGAAGTGTTCCTATGCGTGGCAGGAGGCCGTCCAAGGGCCCGGGGCCTTTGGGGTCCTCGATCGAGTTTCAGTGCCTGGGTGAGGGTTTAGGGCTCCGTTCTGCTGCCTTTGCGCTTTGTTCGTCGTGGGCTCCTGGTTTGTGGAGACTTGACGTGAGTTACTCCAGCGGATGGACGCAAGTTGTATGAACTTTGGGTGGATGCGGAGGTAACTGGAATATCGCCGACTCGCTGCACATGAGCCTTAAACTGGCAGCAGGCCACAGCCTGAAGTGTCACGGATGCGACTGAAACAGACTCAAAAGACCCAACTTGAGTTCCCGAGGATATGTCACAAATGCTGCCTGTTTGAAATGACTGGACACCCCGTGCTGAGATGTCGTGGATGTGACCGAAGTGAGCCGGATAGTCTATGTGGGGGTCGTGGAGGTGATCGAAGCGGAGGATGGCCCATGATGGGTCTGGTGAATGGGACTGAGATGGGTAGGACGGCCAAGGCTAGGGTTGCGGATACAACCGAGGTGAGGCTGGAAGGCCAATGCTAGGATGTCGACTGTGGGAGATGAATGGAATGAGGCGTGAGAGCCGGGGTGAACGCGTATGGTTGTTATGCAAATTTTATTGCTAAATGAACGTAGGGAGGCTGAATAGACGAAGCTGTAGTGGGTAAAGGGTCAAGCTTGGTGACCTGTGTAAGGTGTTGCGGATGCGACTACAGTGTGGCTGGGAGCCTAACTCGACAGTAGTACGCACGTGGCTGAAGCTCAACGGAGTAATACTTACAGAAGTGCTGTGAAGAGAACTGAGGTACGACTAGTGAACATACAACCACAGGTCAAAGAAGCAATGGATTCAAGGCAGGGTGACCTACCTTACGATTAGCAGAAATTGAGGGCAGAAGGAAGGGATTGTGTCCCTGACGGGTTGACATAAATTTCCCGGGTGGAAAACGATCGGAACCAGGGGCTATTTCCTTCGCAGCACAGGCTGGCTTGATGAACAGCAAGGAACTTGAGGTGGGACCGCTGGAGGGGGGTTGTGGGCGTCCCAGGCACCTATGAACCACCAGCTCTGCCGGCCCCGGTACCAGCACTCTAGGCGATTGTCCCAACTGGATCAGGACTTATTCGGACGGACACTGGACACTCAGCGGGTGCGTGGGGTGGCTTGGGGAATCGGGACGATCGCCCGGCAATTGAGAAGTTGGACGACTTCCGGCACATCCTGGTGGAGATATCCTTCATGGACCAAAGCTCTCATACGATTACCAAGGATTCATCGTTTTTGTTTCGCTTACTTGCTAGGGGGTTGTGCAGCACCTGCGGTCTCAGCAGTTTCCCTGGCCATCTCTGGGCAGATGCGGGCGGATACTCTATGTTCACTGGAAGGTGGCGGTGGCCAACAGAATTGAGAAGATACCTCAGCAATCGTAAAGTTAGAGGTTTTCTGCAGGTCCTGCGAGCGGGCCCAGTTGGCACTTGTGTGGGACCAGGGGCCGTTCCCCAGTGCGCTATACAGGTGCTGCCGGGATGAGATGGGTATGACACGCTTGCTGCTACGTGGGCTGTGCTGTGCCTCTTGAATTAACCGATCAGGTTTGCTAGCTTCGGTATAGGGAGGAAGGGAAGAGTCTCTGGGTAGTTCATGATCGGCAGTCAGACCTAACTCTGAAGGACACCACCCTGCGTGGGGTTCCCAGCTCGAAGTGTCCTAGGTTAGCCTGGAATGGACTGCCTGGCACGGACATGATGAGCTATGAGGGATCTTTGTTGATCATGGTTGATCTGCTCTTATGACGCCGGGCACACGCCAGGAGAAGACGTTCCGCTTGACTCCAGTCTATGTTGGATTATGCCCCCCCCTTGGGGGGAAGATGTGTATGTCGGCACTAAGACGGCAATAATGCCTAACGGTGTTTGTGTGTGCGATATGCCCCCCCCTTGACCCATCTATATTACACGTTCGTGGGACCGCCCACAGTCACTTCAGGCGGCTCCACGCCGGGTGGTTGGGGCGGGGGGGGGGGAAAACAAGAGTGAGGCGGTAGGAATGAGAAAGAGAGGAGAATGCGCGCAGGGCGCGGGTGGCTGGGGCGGTGAAGCGGGCGGCACAGGAAGGGGAACAGTGGTACATACTCTAGATGCTGCCCTCGTTCCTGACGTGCGCCCAGCTACTTTGGCTGTGTACGGTGAACGAGCGCTTAGGCTTCAGTTATGGCATTTTCAGAAGTACTGGATACGGTGAAGGTGGTTGCTAAGGTTGTACGGGTCCAAAGTGAGACGAAGGTTGCTTTTGGTGGGAGAGGAAGTGTGGAAGGTATGTTTTTATTACAGAGACTTAAGGTGCTTGATAGAGATTTGAGGCGTTTATTTGGCCAGGATCAGGCCCAATCTTGCCATCGTTCGGAGACAGTCGGTGTGTAGGCGCGCCGCTTCTCCCACCCGGAGAGGAATCGTCATTCCCCCCCCCAGTCGCGGTGCGCCTAGCTTCCCTCGTGATCGCTATCGGGCGAGGCCCATTCGGAAGAGATAGTGGTCACGGGATGGTTGCAGCTAGAACAGGTGGGAGATACAGAGAGGGGGTGCTGAAAGGGCAGGCAACGGCATTGGTAGACTTTCTCTAGATCTCCAGGCAAGCAAATTTCCTGGAGGTTCCTGTGTCTACCTTCGCAATCTACATCTGGCAGCTTGCAGCAACTCGGCAAGCGGCACCAGGTTGAGGGCGGGGAAAGCCCCGAAAGAAATCCAGATGGGTAGGGATCACGCACGGATAACCTATCCGGAATCCGCGGATAATCCCGCACTCATGGCCGTGCATGCAACGGCTTCACGGCAGGCAGAACACCCTTTAAGTCGCGCAGCAGGGTCACGACGGGAATGAGGACCGGGGTGTTGGCGGCAGTCCATTGCAAATAGCGACTAGGCGCCAACAATTTGTTCTACTTAAGGGCCACAGCATCCGGCTCAGCATGACCCTGCCGGATGAGAATCTGGTGATAAGTGAGCGATAACCGTTGACCGGCAAATCTCCCAAGAACTCCCGCAATATGTCACCACATTCTAAGGATTCTTTTGAATCAGCAGGTTGTAGGTGCTGCAAAGGTTAAAGATGGCCCATGCACAAAGGCGGCGCATGGCAGACCCTTGGGTCCCAGCTTGGCGAGATCGTCATAGCCGTGGCTGAAAGCGCGAACCCGAGCATTACACAACAGCTTGTGCAAATCATTTGAATATCTTGCTTTCGATTAGCCCACCCACCCACCCATTGATTATTCAGCGAATTATAATTCCAGCGTTTATGGGAACCGGTAAATTACCCGTACTTCACACCGTACTTGGCCCTTCGTTGTCGGCGGTGAAGCGGGCGGCACAGGAAGGGGAACAGTGGTACATACTCTAGATGCTGCCCTCGTTCCTGACGTGCGCCCAGCTACTTTGGCTGTGTACGGTGAACGAGCGCTTAGGCTTCAGTTATGAAGGAATCTGTCGACATGCCTTGCGCAATGCGGATCTGGACTCTGGAAATGACTATGGGCTTCTTCGGAGTCGACAAGGGCTCTCGGCCCCGGTGCAGCCAGTCGTCCCGCGGTATTCTGCAGGGGGGAGGCGTACTGCGCTGAGCTGCAAGTGAGAAGGAACGGTGTCGTGTTTGGACTAATACGCTCATTATTATGGATAGCTCCAAGGGCCGTGGGTGCGGCGGGCGGTGGCGTTGGAGTGATGTATGGATCTGGTGTATACACTTGCTGCTAAGGCGCAAATGCAAATCCATGGACGGTGCATTGCACGCCGCCTCCATTTCAACAAGAAAGAACGGCTGAGCATCTAGCCTTCTGGTAGTGCGCAAAAAGCAGCAAAGCAGCCCGAGCAGAAGCAGCGTGCGTCACAGCATGCCCGCACACCGCACCCCCTATGGCATAAAGTTGATTTTGGTCCAAGTTTTTAAAATTTACTAAACTTACTCAGAGCCCCAATGTACCCCCCATGCCGAGTCCTCTTGGCAGAGAAGTGCAAAAGGTTCCCTCCTTTAAGCCCCACCCTTCAGCTGAGCCATCCGTACCACTAATGCCGCACAGAACCGCCAAAACACTGGAAGACCCTTCCCTGCACAACAACACCCCGTCATCACAACGGCTACAACTCTGGGCATCGGTATCCCAAAAAACCCAAACCAGCAAAAATACACTTAGGCATAATAATGGGTGGACTGTGGGCCACCACGTCTTTCTCAGGGGCTGGTCCCGGGCACCTAGACGCTCTCCCTATTTTGCCAAAAGAAGTATTCTCAAGAATTAACACTGTGGGAATGAAGCTGAAGCGCACGTCGCTAGTCGCCCTGCGTCATGGCAGATCGACCAACAGATAGCGCCTCGTGTCACGTCACCCAGTGGCATCCTCCCCCTTGTCTCCCTCCCCCTCTTCGCCGTCCTCGTACTCGTCATCATCGTCATCACCCTCGCCCACCGCCTCAACGCCACCGCTCTTGTCCACGCCACCCAGCGTCGACAGCAGCCCCGTCCGTCGGGTAGGCAACCCCCGCCGGTAGTTCGCACTGCGCTCCCCAGGCACTGCCCGCACATGTTGCTGCATTGCGTCCACGTCTCGCTCGATCAGCTCCCGCCAGCGGGCGCCCTCCTCCTCTCCCAGGACCTCCGTCAGCACCCCGTACGATACCGGCTCCGCCGCCGCCGCTGACACGGAACGGCCCGAGCGTGCGGAGGATGCCGACGGTGGCGGTAGCCCACCCAGCAGACTGCCCAAGAGGCCCCCTAATCCGCCTCCGGCTGCACCGGCTCCCCCACTGCCGGCTCCGCCGCCCCCTAGAACCATGTTCATCACGTTGCCAATCATGGGCTGCATGGCGGGGTCCGACACAATGTTCTGTGCGACTTGAAGGAGGCCGCCCAGGCCGCCGCCGCCGCCGCCGCTGCCGCCGCCGCCTCCACTGCGGCCAAGAGCCACGCCACTACCTGCAAAACACGGGTGTGTGTACGTGTGCACGATTAAAGCGCCGGAATAGCACATCATCAAGAGACTCAAGGATGCCAAAGGAAAGCTCGCCTCGCGAACATCGCAACATGCGATGCCATCATACCCGGCAAAGCACACGACAGACACAGCCGCACGCACAAGTCGCACATCTGCACACGCTTCTGCACGCGTACAACACATCTACCGTACCTCCGTCACGTGTATCCAGCGTGCCCAAGACATGCTCCATCATCTCCATCAAGCCATCCATAGGGTCCGCAGCGGCTGAAACCCCCGGACGCGGCGCCCCGCCGGCCGCAGGAGGGCGCGTCGCCGGTGCAGCTACCGGCACCCGCATCTCTGAGGTCGCCGACGATGGGGTTGCTGTTTGCGGTGCTGGCGCTGTAGGCGTCGCGGACGCCATCTCAGGGGCGATGCTGGTCGCCAGAGTCACTCCTGCCGCGGCATCTGCCGCTGCCGCCGCTGTTGCCACAGCAGGTGCAGCGGTCACGGGCTTCTTCTTGCCCCCCGGCGGCCAAAGCCCCAGGCCCAGGCCCTTGGGAGCCGCGGAAGGCCCGGCCGAAGGCGCTACAGAGGTTGTTGCTTGTGTAGCACCGGCATCCGCGCCACTGACCGTCGGCGGCATGGCGGTGAGTTCTGGAGCTGCTGCTTCCGTTGAGGCTGGAGGCGAGGTGAGGGAAGATGGTTGCGTCGCAGCGGATGCCATGGCGGCCGCGGATGTGGCAACGGATGGCGCTACACTTGACGCCGGCGGCGGCGTTGGCAAAGAAGACGAGGACAATCCGCCAGATGTCGCCGGTCCCAAGGGTGCTGATGGAACCTCTGGTGAAGTCGTCGCAGGAGGCACGGGCCCGGGAGCAGCTGATGCCGCTGGCGTTGGCGCTGCTGCTGCAGGTGCAGGTGCAGGTGATGCCTGTGGGCGAGGTGGCTGGGGCGCAGATGCTGCTTGCGACGGCGGGACTGGCGACGGCGGCGACGGCGACCCGCCTCCCATGATGCTTGCCGCCAGGTTCACCATCTGCGACATCAGGTCAACCGCGCTGGCGGCCCCGCTGGCGGACTCAATCTGAAGGGAACAGGCAGGAGCACACGGATTTCGACAAGCACCAGATGGTGTATAAGTTCCTCCGCATCTGCTGAGAGGATGTATGGACGGCTGCCAAGAACTATCGCTTCGCAGCAGCCGCAGCAGCCTCAGAAGTTTTCTACCAAGGGATTGGTAAGGTTCAAATAACATTCGCTAAACCGCCCTTTCTCGCCATCCTCTCTCCTCAAAGACCCCTTCACCTTTGCCCTCGGCGCCTCTCCTTACCTCCTCCAAGCCCGAGGAGATACGTGACCAGTTGGCTAGCAGCATATTGGCCACTCCGTCCAGCCGTGCCACCAACGTCTGAAGAACAATCATGGCCAGCTGGTGCCCGTCCACCGCGCCGCTGCGCGCCGCCTCCGGCGCGACCGCCGCCACCACGCTCTGCGCCACGTTGCGGCCGATGCTGTTCACCATCGTGGGCAACAACATGCGCACCATCGCATTCATGTCCTCATCCAGCACAGCGCGGCGCCGCGCATCCTGATTACCTGTCGCGTCGTCGCCCTGGCGGCTGCGGCGGCGGCTATGCCGCCGCCGCTGCTCATGCCCCTCGCCCTGCGGCTGTTGCCCTGCCGCGCCCTCCTCCGTTGCCCCGTCGCCTTCGTCGCTGGCACCGCCCCCCTCACCCTCCACCTCATCCTCATCATCCCCTTCCCCTTCTTCCCCGCCGTCGCTGGCCTCTGCAAGAAGACAAGTGCCGTAACCACGACCAGGAGTATCAGCCGCCGCACACAAAATCAGGGGAACTACGTGTACATATGGGAGATGCATCTGGTCCTAACCTCTGGTCTACCCTGGACCGCCAACCGCCAACCGGTAACTGCCCTGCAACCGCCGGCGCCAACTCCCATGGGCCCGGCTGATGCCATTTTCCCCCTACGGAAAAGCCCCTCTTGTTGCGCTCCTCTGGTTGGGCCTTTGCTCCCTGCAGAGAACTCCCCTCCCATTACGTTTACATTATCCTCCCATGTGCCCACCTCGCCAGCCCCTAAACTGTCCGCGCTGCCGTCTCCCCACCGACCCACCCGCAGGAACCTGAAGCACGCTCTCCCAGGAGGGAAACAGCTGATTGATCAGACGAGCTACTGGCCGGAATTCCTCCAGGGGGTCCACTGCAGCACCGGTTGCTGCTGCTGCTGCTGCTGCAGAGGAGGAGGAGGAAGTTGTGTCCGCTGCCCCGGGCACAGCCCCAGCCTCCCCAGTGGCCGCGCTGGCGCTGGCCGCAGGCGCCGCGGGCGCCGCCTACATACACGCGCGGAAAGGAACAAACCGTTCACGAATCTACCAACATGCACACTAACGAGTTGTGCAGGTAATGTGAAGGCTCCGTTGCCACGAAGGCCACGAAGGACTCGCAGGAAGGGTTTACAGGATCTCCTCATGCGCTGATTAAGCAGGGGAAGCAGGGGGAGAAGAATGGGGGAGAAGGCCAACAAACCATAAAGGAGTGAATAATGGGGAGTGATAAATGGAGAGATGGAGGTCCACAAAATGCTTCCTCTTCTCGTACCTGTTCCCCATCAGGCTGCTGCTGCTGCTGCCTCTGTTGCGTCTGCCTTGCCGCCCGCGCCGCGTTTCGCTGCCTGGCCGTGGCCCTCTGCAGCCCCTCCCACCGCGCCGTGAGCACCTCCATGACGTGGGTCATGTGCTGCGACAGCGCACGACTGAGCGCGTCCAGCAGCTGTACGGCACGCGGAATGCATATAAAAAGGCACAGACCAACAACATGGTGAGCAACGATAAGCAGAAAGCAACGTGTCGTGGGAGGTGTGGCAGGGCACGAGGCAGCAGGAGAGTAAGTGACGATCCGGTTTAAGGTTTTGTTTAACGAACTCAGCATTGTGAAGCATGTCCTGAATAACTGTGTGTGTGTTTGTGTGTTTGTGTGTTTGTGTGTGGCCCCAAGGTGTGATGGCCGGGATCTACACGACGATGACAAACAGGGAGGAGACCTCAGCCGGGTAGAAATCAGACACACAGCCAGGCAGGAACAGGGCACAAACCGGGGCTAAGAACATCAAGGCATTTCTAGGCCACGTCAAAAGAATGCTATGCAGTGCCCAAACGCAGGGCGCGATGCAGGGCAACACATATCAAAAGCACAGCATCGCACACCGGCACATGGACCAACGACCCCCCATTAGAAACACCCAACCTACCATATGAGGCTGCACGCCTCGACCAGCCAGGGATTGCATCACCGCCGCGGCTATGCTACCCGCCACGGACGTCAGCGCCGGCATCAGCAGGCTGAGCGGCGTCTCGCGTGGTCGCCGCGATTCAGCGCCCCCGCCGGCGCCGCCGCCGCCAGGCGCTGCTGACGGCGCTGCGCGAGGCGCGGTACCACCAGCTGCATCTCCACTGCCGCCACTGCCTGGCGGCGGCTGCGGCTGCGGCGGCTGCGATGGCTGCGGCATCATCGCGCCGCCCGCAACTGCGCTGATAATGTTGTTCAGCAGGCCCCCAAGGCCGCCGGGCATGTTCGGCAAATCGGACAGATCAATGTGCACGGTCCCGACAGATATGCCGCTCTGCGGCTGCCCCCTGGCACCAGGGGCGCCCCCGCCAGCTGCGGGGGCGGCTGCCGCCGCCGGCGCGGCTCCCCCGGCCTGGCTTCCATCCTCCTGGCCGCCGGGAGCCATGGGCATGGCAAATTGAGCGCCAATGACGTCCATGAAGCCGCCCATGGGGAACATGGGTCCCATAGGGCCCATAAAGCCGAATTCTGCCGGCGTACCGCCGCCTCCACGTACGACAGGTCGCGGTATCACAGCTGGCAGTTCCGCGTCAGTGCCTGTGCCGGCGGCATCAGCTCGATGAGAAAATGATGACAAACGCACTTTTGCCAAGATAAAAACGGAGGCATGGATTTGTGCTTGTGGAGGGCTAAAGATTTAGGAGCCACGAACAACTGTCCCGGCCGCTTGGGCGCCCGTTCCCACTTACCGTCCAGCCTCAAGACGGCGGCTGTGTTGGCAGCCAGCGTCCGTGGGCTGTCCTCCAGCGCCGCCGCGGTAGCCATGGCCGCACGCGACATGTCGATCAGCAATGCTGCAGACGCGTGCAGATAGGCACCCAGCTGACGGAGCTGGCGCTGAGGGGCCAACAAAGGTTTCGCAAGAAGCAACGAAGCAGACATCGACATCCGTCCAATAACAGTACCAAGTTTAAGTGGCGACAAGGAGCGGTTTAGAGGTAACCTTAATGCAGCAAATGCGAATCAGGAACAACGTGAAACATCAACATGGCATGTTTAAACAGCCGTAGAAGCATGTTCTAGGCATGTTCAAGCAGCCGCAGAAGCCTCCCGCAAGAGCAGCTCGGAAACAGGTGGTGAGGGACTGATTTCGGAGCTTGGAATCAACAGCTGCTGTTGCCCCATGCTGGCCAACCGCGAGGCGCCCCTTTCAACCCCCCTGCGTCGCATCTCTCACACAACCACACACAAAACCCCCCCAAGGTGTGCTCAATCTCCCAACCAGCACCCAATCAGCACACACACCGTCCGCTGCGCTTCCTGGCTTGGCTCCGGGTTGGATGCCAGCTCGCGAGCCGCTGCAGCTCCGTCCTGCAGCCGCTGCGTCAGGCTGCCCGTCAGGTGCGCCTCCGTGCGGTCCAGCAGCGCAGCCAGGGAGGTCGCGGCCAGGGGCAGGTAGCTGCGGACGGGTATTGATAGGATGCGGTTTGGTTTCGTTCACACGATCAGCTTTCAATGGAATCAATACAAGAAACAAAGAATCGTCGAAGAACAGCTAGGGAAAATACCGCAGGTGTCTAAAGTTTTGCAAAGTGCTGGAGAAAAGTTGGGCTCGCCGTTGGATGACTCACCGGTAACCGTAACTCGCTCCTGCAAAGTCCGCCTCGCCTGGCCCCTGCGGGCCGCGCCGCCGACCAGGGCGTTGTGCTCCATCCGCAGCTCCACCTTGCCGCTCCTCACCTGTGCCCGCACGGGTCGAAGCCAGCAGTTAGCCCAGCGCGAATGATGGCCTGACAGGTGTCGAGCGGACTGCTGGTTCCCAAGCGACGCGGGAAGGAGAAGCGGAACGGGCCAAGAACCACTCGGTGGTGCAAAAGCACACCGGTGCCGATGGTCTCTCTCCACCACAGCAAAGACCATTCATTCACGTTCATTGGCTGCCTCTGGTTGGCTGCCTCTAGTTGGCTGCCTCTGGTTGGCTGCCTCTGGTTGGCTGCCTCTGGTTGCCTGCCTCTGGTTGGCTGCCTCTGGTTATCCAAGCCAAGCCAAGCTAAATCAGAAACGTCGGTGAGCCTATTGGCGGGAGAGCCGCGTTCTAGATTCCGTATCGAATACGCACCTGACTCCGCTGCTGCTGCTGCTGCTGCTGCTGGGGCCGACGCCGCCCCGTCGCCTGTACCGCTCTCTCTCTGAGCTGGTGCCGCAGCCTGGCCAGGACCCTGGCCCTGCTCTTGCTGCTGCTCCGCCTGCTGTTGCTCCTGTTGTTGTTGTTGCTGTCCTCTCCCTGCTGGGTCCCTGCGCGCCTCCTCCCTCATCGCCGCCAACTGCTCCGGCAGCTCCGTGTCACCTAGGAGCTCGATCATGGCCCGGCTGAGCGCCTCAAACTCGGCCTGCACGCTGTTTGCGGTGTAGGCTGGCGGGCGAAGAGGACAGGGCAAAAATGGGTAATATAGTTAGTCAAAACTAACCTTCAACAGCAAGTGGAGGATTTTGAATACGCAAATTCTGAACCTCCAATAAGTAGAGACTTAGGAGTTTAGGTCATATATTGAAATAGATGAAGTGGTTAATGCATGGGCTGATTCAGGAATGATAAATTAATCGCAAGTCAGTACGTGAGGGCCTTCCGCAGGACAGCCGCGGTACAGGAGTCCAAGCCAGGCTCGACGCCACGCGTCCCCTTCTTCGGCCCACTTACTGCCGACACATGAAATCCCTTTCCCCGGTGCGAAGTGCGCGATTCCAATTACGCGAGATGGCCTGTCGCGTGGTTGCCTTACCGCTCGACATGAGGGCAGAGGGTAGCGGCGCGTAGCTCTGCTCACCCAGCCGCTGCAGGTAGCGGTGGAGGCTAGAGTACAGGTGCGGAATCTCGGGCATGGGGCCTGGCTGCTGTTGCTGCTGCCCTGATGGCTGCTGCTGCTGCTGCTGCCGGCCGGCCGCCGGACGGACGGTGTTGCCGCCTGTAAGCGAAGTGCAACAGGGCAGCACGCGCAGCCCGATGTAGACGGCGATTACGGACATACAGACAAGAAAACAAACAGAATGGCAGGCAGAGGCGGGCCAGCGGGGTGAACGCACGGCGATGAAGATAAAGAGGACAGGCGTGGCCACTACCGTAAATCATCATCATCATCATCAATATCATCATCACAGCAGTTACGGAACAAGAATGGAAGCGAAAAGCAGCTGTTCCGGAAAAAGCCTCCTGCTTCGCGTTCTTCGCGTTCTTTTTTGGATGCGCAGCTAACAGCGTATTGGCTTTGCACTCCGCAACTCGGATGGACCCGGATGGACAACGAGAGCCCAAGCGAGCCCACAGAAACGGAGATATCAAGTTCAAGAGGTGCACAGAGGGAGTCCCGTGTCAAAGAACGCCAGCATGAGTCTCCCCAGCAAGCTCCCTGGCCCCATGATGTCTTACGACGTCTTACCCAACGAGTTTCCAAGGTTGAAGCCCATGCCCAGATTGAGGTTCATCGTCTGGTTGATTTGCTCCAGGATCTATCACGAAAGATCAGGAACAGGGAGATGTCATGAGAACTCCTGCCCCATGGCCTAAACTACGTCTAAACTAAGATTAAGAGGACAGCGGGCGGGGAACCTTGGCGAGCGAAAAAGGCCCCTCCTTGCAATACAATCGTTCTTGAGGGGACCCGAACCGGCGGCATAGCAAGGTGCCGTTTCGACCCCCCTGTCCGTTCCCGTCCGTGCCCTAGCTTGCCGGCGCACCCGACGTGTATCCTCCTCGAGCCGATTTTCCGCAGACTGTGGTTGCGATGGCCCCTGCTGGCTACCACCACCTGTGGGTGGCAGGGACCAAAGATGAGACCCACCCACATGGGGCGGAGTTAGGAAAGAGAACCATCCGTTCAAGCATGGCCAATGGGTTTGGGGTTTGCGGTCGGATTTTCAGATCTGAACCGCAAGATTTCCAGGTTTTCCGGAACAAGCTTGGATGCAATGTGGGCTGTGCAGCGTGTAATTCTGAGGTTTGATGGCTTCGAACACTGTTGATAACCTCTTCTCAGCGTGCAAGGCGTGATCAATGCCGCCGTGTACGAAACACAGCCTGATTTCCCCAGGAATATTTCTTTGTGTAAGCCAGGGGTTTGTCCGCAAAACTCCCGGCGCACTAAAGCCGAACGTTGGCACAGCACGCGTGGCCAACATGTACCTGTTGTGGCTGGTGCGTCGGCAGGCCGTACCACCATGTGAAGCGTATCGCCATTCTCCACTCCTGGAGAGGAAAGGGAATTCATGGGGAGAACCGCTAAGGTGTCTGTAAAGTAGGGTAGGGGGAAACCGGCCGGGGCCCGGGCCTGGTGGCTAAGCCAGTTGCAAGACGAGCCCCGAGTTGCCCACAAAACGTCACCGGTGTTAAAAACACGAGTTGAGGCTTAAGGACTAGTTCATGCAAGCCGCAAGATGCCATGCCCAAGCTCACCAATGTCTTGAAGTGTGCGCTCATCGGACAGGCCACGCCCGCGGTATATAATGCGCTGCCGATTTGCGGGAGAGTTTTGAATGATGCCCTCGAGCTTCTGCTTGAGGTCACTGACCGTGATCTATGAAAAATTCACCAAAATACAGCTTCGCTCAGAAGTGGAGTCGACAGCGGGAAGTGGCAGGTAATTTCTCGCACCTGTCTGTCAACGTGGACCTCGTACGTCGCTGGCTCTAATGTCTTTACCTTGATCAACACGTCTCCACCCGCTCCCACGGGCAGATTGTCCCCTATGGGAGAGCTGCTCATCTTTTACGTTACGTTCAGCAGGCATATATGAGTTTCGTTATATAAAACATTTGCACAAGCTTTGCCTTTGTGCTTGTGGTCGAGTACTGGGCCGTGCTGTGCTGAGGGCGCAAACGGAATTCCATGCAACCGCAAGCAATCGAAAAAGTACAGCAGCAATGCATAAACAATGCAGACCTGGACACATCTTCAACTTTGCTACTTATTATTTTATGATTTTCTATTCATGAACTTACAAAGATGGCCTCTGCAGTAGCGGCTTCCCAATGTTCGGTCCTGGATGTGGTTCGCCTGCCGAGCCCATCTAGTCTTATAGAGATGGTCACGTCCTCTGCTGGGACGTTGCATGAGGGGCTTTGGTTCCTGAAGCGCTCGGCAGGTGGCGAGGAAGGGATCCGGGACAGCGTGTCGCGAAACGCTTTTGCGCCAGGACGGGAGGGCTTAGCATCTACTTGCTGGAAGGCTGGCCTCAAAGCATCAACGCTTCGTGCGGTTGACCTGAAAGCCTCACTGCTCGGAGTTGTGAGCGTAGGCGGTCTGATCGCTACGGCAACACAGGCAGCTCTGAGCCCTAGAGTGAGTTTAAAGGCCTCCTCAATTTGCAGGGATCATGGCAAGCTGCAGCTTTGAGTTTCGCTAAACGGTGTCTGTCGTTCGGGCCATCGTAAGAAATGTTGCGCGTACGATGTTTTCCAGGGTCCAGGTACTTGCGACCGGAACATGTGCGAACGCTGCTGCAACATTACCACGTCGATTCCGTATGTTGTGTGTGGTTGCCACGCCATGAGGTGCGCAGATTTGGGCGAGGGTTGTTTTGGTTGTTTGCATCAGAAGGTCGACGGACTTGCATAGCACGCTTTGACACATTTTGCTGTCTAACCTTATTGCCGCTGCGGGGACCTGGCTTGCTTCTTAGCTTTCTTGGAACTCAGAGGCACGGCGCCTCCGCTGTTGGACCGGTTCTTGAAATGGACCGCCCTTGGACCGGCCTTTTCCCTCGATAATCCTGCCGTGCAGGCACCGTTGCACGGCCAGCGGGAAGACTTGGGGTGCAAGCATGGTTGGGGTTGGTTTCGCCAGCGCGATCTTCCATGGCTCGTACGGCTCCTTCCGGGAATGGGGCCGGCGGATGGATTTCTGGACGATCTCGGCGGCTAGCAACTTGATGACGCGCGCTCTGTAAGTGTGAAACGAAATTTGCGTCTTACGGGGTCAAATGCCACAGCTGCTCGGCTTGCATGGTGCTCTGGTGGAATTGACACGACGTCGCGTGCACTTCGCTGCTTGTACGTGCTATGGCTGCGCATCGAAGGGGTGCACAATTTGTGCATAGACGAACCAAGGGCGCTAGGTACCTACTGCTCAGCTGCCTATGGTCATTTGTAATGCATGGGTGTTCGGCGTGCTTCTTTTGACTAGTTAGCTTCCGCACGGCACCGTTCGTGGGATATTCCAACCGCCACCACGCAGCTCTGAGTCTTTGTTTTCACCCTTTTCATCCTGATGACGAAAACCCCCACATTCCAAAATCCAGGTTCCCGGGCGTGCCGGCGTCAGTGACCGCCGCGGGCATGCTTGTGACGCCGTTTAAGCCATTCCTAGTGTCGTTCGTGAACAGCACGGCCATGGAGATCAAATTCCTGGCTGCCGCGCGTCGCAACCCCAAGCTCCGAGGGCCGCAGCGCCTGCATGCAACCTGCTGCCTCTTAGGGCTGGGAGCCTTCGCTCTGGAGGACTGGAAGCCGGACCTCCCGCTGGTCCACTCGGTGTGGCATTTACTATCCTCGACAGCGGTAGCCACTATCAATCATCTGCTTGCCGACGTGGAGGAGCAGCAGCGGCTAATGCAAGTTCAGGGCGTCGAGCAGCGGCCCCAGCTGGTGGTGCAGATGCAGCCCCTGCAGCTTTAGGATTTGGCGCAACTGCCGGCAGACGGCATTGTTACCACACAATGTTCGTCCCAGCCCGTACGTTACCCCTGGGCATGACCCGGCAGGCACGCGGAACTCCGTGGTTGCCATTTGGTGATGCCGCAACTTTGTATGCTTTTGCACACGTATCCAGCTAATGGCGTAGTAGTGATGAAGGCTGCGTGGTTTAAGGGCGATTCGGAAGAGCAGTTATGAAAGGGGCGGGTAGGTTTATTTGCAGGTGTGACCTGTTTCCTGGCCCCTGGTTTTGTGTTTAATGTTAGTCATTTTACCTCAATTCATGTGCTTTCGTACCACTGGGTCTTGTGCGGGAATACCGTCTCATAAAGTCAACGATTATGGTTGGGCGATACGGCTCATCTGTGAGCGGGGAGACGATGGAGCACAGGAGATGTGCAGGGTTGAGGGATGGCGCTGTGCATTGCTGCGAGTGGAACAGGGTTTGTGGTGGTGACGTTGCACTGTATTAGAGTAACCCAAATACCTTACCGTGTGCCTGACTAATTGCCATACTGTGTCGAATTGATGTAGGGACATAGCACTGCTTCAACTATCTGGATCTTGCAGACGACAGGCAGTGATGTCTGGATTGCGAGGTAGCAGAAGATGTGACTATTGCACTTTTTCTGTCCTGCATTGACGTCTCCAGGCACATTTGGTGGCTGTTTTAGGAAACAGGGATTAGGGTGGGTACGTGGACGCAATTCAATCCTTCCTTCTGTCGCCGGAATCGTTTGGTCCATCGGCCATCGAGTCTGCGTTTTCGGCACTCCTGGTCCTAGCACACCTTATGTATGAGGAAGGCAAGCGGGAACGGTAGTGGCGGGGCTGAAACCGTACTTGCATGCTCCTTTTCTGGGCGGCGGATTGGCACAGGTTATGCTTCGGCTGCCAAATTCTTTTTTTGTGCACGCTACATTGGCTTGTCAGTGTTCAATTGCTGAATTTTTATGCATGAATGAACTGGACGGGCGTCGACTGGCAGTCCCGAGAAGATTGGTGAAGAGGTGCAGGACATCATCTCCTATGGCTTCGCTTTTTTCCTTATTTCTTTCCTAGGATAGTGAGTACGGCATGACATCCCGCTCAAAAACTCCGTTTGCCTTTTGTGCTGCACTCGCGCGCGCTGCCATTCAAGCCGATGCCCTGCAGCACGCGGGGATTACTAGACCGGACGCTTCGCCTGTTTGCGCCGGAAAATGTGCTGTGTCTTGCATGCTTACGCGTGCAGGTGTTCCTTACTTAAGTCGGTGTGCTCGCGGCGTTAACTGTATGTTCATAAAGTTGTTGCAAGTGCAGCACCGAGGTTGAGCGATGCGTCGGGTAAAATATTGATACGTTGGTATGTCGCCAATGTAAACCAAAAGTGTCGTAAGAGGAAATACCCAAACCCCCGCATTTGCATCTCCCCACGGCAGCAAGGCCCCGGCTTGCCGTAACACTCCGAATTGGACACCTTCAGTCGCGCCTGCGCCGCTTAGATTTCTTATGTTTCTTCTTTAGCTTCTTGTGCTTGGATTTCTTCTTTTGCTTGCGAGCCCTCAGCACCACCTCCAGTGCGCGCCGGATGTCCTTGCTGGCCGGTTGGCCGGGAGCCCCGCCGTGCGCTAGCCCTACAACAAGGTGGGAAACCAGAGGCAGCGGGACCATGATCTGACTCATGTGTGCGTCGTCGTCCTCCATAAGCTGCGCACATAAACCTCTGGTACCTGAACATCCTTCACGCCAAGTATCAATAGCCAATAGAACGAAAACACATAAAAGGAAACATGCCTGTCCATACTACACTTGGCCTCCCCGGGGCTCTATTCCCAGCCATCCAAGGCACCCAAAGCATACGAAGCAATGCCCTTCCTCGATGAACGATCCCATTTCGCTCATGTCGCACACATACCTGGGGTTCCGCTGCTGCTGCTCCCGCTATCGCTGCTGCTCTCAGTGCTCTCGCTGCCGTCGTCGCTACTGTTGCTATCCCGCCGCCGCCGTCTCTCGGCCCCTCCCGCCGCCCAGCTCTCGCCATAAGGCAGCGCCGCGCTGGCGCCATGCGTTTCTCGCTGCGGCCTGCTCAGCGCCACGGCCGACAGCTGATGCCCATGACCCACAGGTCGGCTTGCCGCCGCTGCCGCTGCTGCTGCTGTCGCCACGCCGCGGCCATCAGGCGAACCATCCCCCCAGCGGACCCCCGGCCTACCTCCCCCCCTTCCATCCGCGCCACCAGCTGCTGCGTCTTCCGTCGCCCATCTTTGCCTCCTGTCCCGCTGCTGCTGCTGCAGCTGCTGCTGCTGCTGCCGTTCCTCCTCCTGCACATCCAGCTGCTGCCGCTGGCCCTCCACATGGCGCAGCACAGCATCGAGGTAGGTGGCTGCGTTGCGGTGGCCGGGGTCCAGCTCCAGCGCCCGCCGCAGGTCCCGCTCTGCATCCGCAAAGGCGCGCTGGTTGGCGTGCGCGGCCCCGCGAGCGACATAGGCCTCCGCGCTGCCGGGGTCGAGCTCCAGAGCCCGGCCGTACGCCTTGTGCGCATCGGCGTAGTTTCCTAAACCGCCGCCAGAGGGGATGCACCAAAGCACATCGCACATTCACAGACATGAACATGGAGCCCGAAGGAAAAGCCGCGTCCGCTATCTTACTAGATCAGACCAAATAATAAGCTGCAGAGGTCGGTTCTGGATCGAACAACAGACGCTGGCGTGGTAAGTGCTGCATCTTTAATACCCGGCTACTGATGTGTTATATTTCTTTGGAGCTTGGGGCTTTATGGCTTGGAGGATTATTATGAGGGGGCTTTGCGGGATGGCAGCAGGCGTCGTGTGCTGGATCGGCTTTGTGGCCGGCCGGTCCCAAAAACCAAACTTTGGCCTGCTTGAGCGCAGCATTGCCGACCCCGCGCCGCCCCCGGACTGGGACATTTCACTGGGGGAAGGGGGAGAGTCCAGCATCTTGCCTGAAAACCAGGCCCCAGCCGCGACTTGGCTGTTGCTGCTGCCGTTGCTGCTGCTGTTGCTGCTGCTGTTGCTGCTGACGTTGCTACTGCTTCCAACCCCCTTCCAGTTATCGCACGTGGCCTCCATCTTACCTGTGATATGAAACATCGACACAAGACATACATACAGACGGACTCTCTCTCCGGTGCCCTCACCTAGCCTCGCTGGATCTTCTAGCTGACTGTTCGCAGCTCCGTCCCCTAGACTCACATCCCGCAACACGTACCTTGGAACCACCAACAAGCAAGCTCATCCATCTCACGTCAGAACTTTATTCTGTGGCTTACTACGCTTTTTTTTTAAACCTCGCAAGGCCATGCGCCCACGCCCCAGGTCCCCCTTCATATTCGGACATTCTCCGTAGTCGTAGGACTTTTCAGACTGCTGGAACCCGTGAAACGTTTACCCACGCACCCTGCTTGGCCGCCGCAACGCCCTGTTTCACGGCTTCCAAAGACCACCGCGCGTTGATGTGGGTCTTCATAAGGGCCCGCAGCGCCTCCAAATCCCGCTGTGCCGGCGGCGGCGCCAGCATGGAGCCCGCTAGGCCGTCGTACAACTCCATAAGGCCCATGACCTCCGCCATGGCCACTTCGCAGTGCGGACTGCGGAAGGACCGGCTCTGCTCCAAACTTTCAAAAAAGGCACGGCACGCGTACGGCTTGGATGGCGCCGGTGGCGGCGGCGGCAGCGGTGACGGCGACGACTCCGGAGATGGATCCCCCCCCGGCCCCCTCCACTCCTCCACCCCCTGCTCCCCAACATCCAAGCGATCCCTGCCGTCGGCGGCGGCGCCGCCGCCAACGAGACCCTCCGCGGTGCCAGCCGATCCGCCCTCGCCGCCGCCGCTGCCGCCGCCGCCGCCAGCGGCGGGCTGCGGTGTACCTGCTGCCGCTGCTGCTGCCATCGCCTCCACCTCCTCCGCCGTATAAATCCCCGTTGCGGCTTCGGTACCAGCGGCTCCCGTACCCGCATCAGCTTCTATATCAGCCGTGGATGCAGTGGCCGCGCCACCAGTGTCACCATCATCCTCGTCGTCATCATCGCCATAATCCACCAAGCCCCACGCGGCCCCGGGTCCCTCCCTGCCGCCATTGCCATCACCTCCTACGACCGCAGCCGCTCTTTTCATCTCCACGCTATCCTCCCCCTTACCCTCCACATCCCGGCTGCCCTCCAGACCAGCACTGCATCGCGGCGGTGCGGCCTCTTGCTGGTCGGCAGCGCTGATGGGCGGCCCCAGAGCCCCGGGTGAGCTCCGAAACCCTGCAGCTCCTTCCTCCCCGGGGCCCTCCCGCCCACTGGGACCAGCGTTCCCGTCCTCTTCCTCCTCCTCCTCCCCGGCAAGCCGCCGCTGCCGGTGGTGATGATGATGATGTCGATTTTGCGTGCCATACTGCTCGTCCTGTACGGCAGGCTGAGGAGTTACACGTGTTGGTTGCTGCTGCTGTTGTTGCTGTTGTTGTTGTTGCTGCTGCTGCACCACCATTTCCAGCTGGTCCGCCTCCCTGAAGGTCGTGTCGCCACCTGGAGGTGTACCTGGATGCGGGTGCTGGCCGGGGGAGTCGTCGGGGTGAGGCGCGGGGTCATGTTCGTGTGCGCGGGGGTAGTGGTTTTGGCGGCCGCTACGGTCATGATGCCGCTGCAGTGCTTCAAGCCAGCAGCGATACGACCTCTCCTGTTCAGCCCTTAGGTCCTCCACCTCCCGCTCGGCTATCCCAGCTAGATCGTACAGAGTGGGGGCGCTGGCGAATCCCCACGGTAGTGGCGTTGGCAGCTCAAGACCGCCGCCGCACTCAGCCTGGAGCAGCAGGTCGGGGACCTGGAGGGGGGAGGGTATCACGTGATTCAATTTGAAAAAGATCGACTGCCGCCGCCCAAAGTACCAGCCAAGGCAGGGGGAAAATGGGTTCATGTGTGTGAGGGACGTGCGCATATGTAGGGCTTATGTTTGTATCGTGCATGGTTGATTGCGGGTGGATGAGAGCATGGCGCTGGGGCCGTGGAGGCGGCGACTACCTTGATGTGTCGTGTCTGACAACGAGAAAGCACGATTCCGTGGGCATACTAGCAAGGAGGGCTGAATACAATACCAGTAGTGCCCAAAGAAGGGGAGCCTTTTGAGCAATTTGCGAACCTTTTGCAGTATGAGTTTTCGTAGCCTGTCGATTGACTCCTCCAGCGCGTCCGAATCCATGCCCTCAGGCGGTGCCAAATGCGCCCACCACCTGTCTGAGCAAGTTAGATGTCCAGATTATTCACAATATGAGATGCGTGTAAGGTCGCCAACCCCTTCTCTTGGCATCGCTGCGCGCTGGCTGTCAGCGGGTCGGCAGCGTTTCTCGGTTACACAGTGTTCATGCTAGTTGATGATATAACGACGTTTCCCTTGGCACGTTAGAAGGGATGACGCCGCATAAAGCAGCCTAAAAACACAACTACAAGTTCTGTGAATACAGTCGCCAGAAGCTCAACCTCATAAGAGCACAGCAAAGATCAAATTCGCCACCCTTACATTATGGCTGAGATAGTGGTAAAGGGTAATTGCCGTCTTTTCAGTCAGTGACATTCTTCACTTCTGCAGTGTAGTGTGCGGTGTGCAGGGTTCAGGGTAAGGCAAGGTCCACGCTCATGCAGTTGTGTAGAAAGCAAAGATGAAAGGGCAAAATATTAGATTGAACCGTTTAACTGCACGGCCGTTAACCACTGATAGTACTACTCTCTCCAGGCTCTCACGATTAGACAATGCAAGGTTTAACTTTTACGAGCAGCACAGAATTTTAACGTGCCAAAATGGTTTACTTCAGACGTATTGGGGATTCCCCCACATCGCCAAACCATTTTTTGCTTCAATAATGCACCCACCTGAACATGTTTGGTAACGTGACTATGCTGCCATGCCTGCTGGAAAGAAATTTTCTCATCCGAGTGCCGAGTTCTTATCCGAGCCGTTATATCCGTTCAGCAACGATGTCGTACATTTCTTTATGTGCATGGCTGTTCTGTGGATAGGTCTACCAACCGCGTGAGCTACATCGCCCCGGATGGATTTTTGGCCGCAAGCGGTCAATCGCCCCAGTTGGCAACTTAGGAGTACGTAACCAGCAGGCAGTAGAGGATGTCGCCGTAATGAGTCCATATGATGCAGGTCCGTTGGGAACTTGGCGTTGTCATTTTTGGCGTTTTCCCGAGCGGCGATTTGCGCGAAATTTTCTGGAAGTTGATGACCAGCGCGGAACAGCCTGTGTCCTTGACAGGATTACGTTTTCCTACCGTATTTTACTACGCACGCCCGCGCGGACACCTGGCCCAGACCAGGTGCCGCCCTGGAGCGATGCTAACCGATTTCTTGCCAGCGCGCTGCTCGCAATTCCAGCACAATCATCTTTTTCTCTTAAACACCAGCAATTTAGTAGGGTTGACGAACGTGAAAGAAACTCGACCCGAACAAAGTCGAGTTTGTCATGTCAACGGTATAGCATTCCTTCAAGCCACAAAGGACACAGTAGTTCAAATAGTAATAATAGTAATGCTCTTATTATAGGAACAAATATCTGGTTCGTTCTTGTATGTGCGATAGCGACAGCCACGTGCGGCATTCCAACCTGCAAGATGTGAGACAGAAAAGATGATAAATGCCTTATTGCTACTGGTGAACTTTGTAAAAATGAAAGCAAAACTGTCCAATGTCTTTCTGTACGGCGACCCTGAACACCACTGCATGACCTGCCAAGGGCTGCAACAAAATTCGCTCCTGACTTTTTTGGGACGATGTACGAACTGTTTATTCGCGAAGTACGACCGGACACATTTGTGCGAGAGGCTGCTTAAACACCTCACTGCCGCCATCCCTGCCATCGCCACTGCCGCCGTCGCCATCCCTGCCATCGCCACGGCCGCCGTCGCCATTCCTGGCGACGGCGGGATCAATGGCGATGACAGGGATGGCGACAGTGGCAATGGCGGCAGTGGGGATGGCGACGGTGGCAATAGCGACGGGGGGGATGGCGACGGTGGCAATGGTGATGCCATCGCCATTACTGCTGTCGCCATCTCCACCCTCACTATTGCTGCCGTCGCCATCCCCAAAGCCGCCATTACCGCCGTCGCCATCGCCACCGCTACCATTGCCGCTGTCACCATCCACCTCGTCGCCAACCCTGCCATTCCACCGTCGCCGTCCCCACTGTCACCCGAACCACCGCCCCCACTGCCGCTGCCCCCCGAGTTTCCTCACGTTCGTCAACCCTACCAAATTGCTGGTGTTTAAGAGAAAAAGACGGTTATGCTGGAATTGCGAGCAGCGCGCTGGCAAGAAATCGGTTAGCATCGCTCCAGGGCGGCACCTCGTCTGGGCCAGGTGTCGCGGACGGTATGCTTTTACTTTTGAGGGTCAAGACTGACACGACGTCGTGCTCCCGTCCAGTACTGTGACTTATGTAACAGCCCTGATATTGGTTTTAAGTTTCTAATCTTTTGTTGTTTCTTTCGTAGCCTCTGGCTTGCTTGGGTCGTACAAGCTCGTGGTGTTTGTGATTAACATTGCCAAAAGCACTACTATTTACAGTTTCCCTCGCATAAACAATCGTTTTGTTGCTCAAGAATGGTGCTCAAGAAAGGAACCGGCTCCAGTTGGCGACTGGAGGAAGCATTAGTTCCTAACTTGCCCGATCAGCAGAGCCCGACATCAGACGCTTGCTGAGAGACAAAGAAGAGAAGAATACTAAGCCTACAACTAATGTTGTAGGGATGCCTTACATACGTCTGGTAAAGCCTTGCACGACACAAAGTCGTACTGATCAAAGCTAAACCATACCTACTCGGTAACGAACACAAATCCCTTAAAAATGGCACATACCGGAACTCAGATAGGGAGCATCTCCCATTCACGGTCGTTGACGCGGCCTAGCAAAGTCGCGTCGCGACCCCTATTTTCTCGTAAGGTTCACCAGCGTGTACAAATTTCCACCGGGGCTGCTCCTGCTCAAGTTGTTACTTCAGGTCCGATGGGTATTCACTTGATCATGGCCGATCGCCTAAACAATTTGATGAATTTACCTGATATCTCTATGCTCCTACTGATGGGAGGTTACGACCCTGCCAATCAGACTGAGCTTTGCGTTGCTTCACGGTCACATCAATCCGTGCAGAGTTGCTAAATTTGGAGAATGCTTTGGAGGCGCCCAGTGATGAAGCGCAGCGTAACTCCTCGATCCAGGTCCCATGGCAGATCTTGGAGCCAAAGACCAATCCTGAGCAGCAAACCCCTCTCCATACATGGCGTAGGAACTGGATCCCTATCTCCCCAGTCTCAGGCTTGGACCCCAGCCGCCCCAACCCGGTGATGGTCCTGGGTGAGCAGCTGGTCGTGTGGCGCCACTCCCTCCGCGGCTGGGTGGTGCAGCGGGACGTGTGTCCGCACCGCCTGGCGCCGCTGTCGGAGGGCCGCTTGGAGGCAGCAGGCACTCGACTGGCGTGCGCGTATCACGGCTGGGAGTTCGACGAGGAGGGCAGCTGCACAAAGGTACCGCAGGTACGACACAGTACGGCAGGGGAGAGGCGGCGGGGTCCATGGATTCAGATATTGAGGACTCAAAAGTTGAAGATCCTCTTCTATGGTGACAATTCACAGTGCGCGTCGAAACTCAGGCCCTCTCAGGCTCTGAACTATATGACCTGAGTGGTTGAGCCTCGACCAGTAGAATGCAGTCGGTTGGGCTGGACTTCCGTCTTGCACTGATTGATGTGAATCCTCTCTCAAGGATCCCTTTGGGAGCGAACTGCCCCACGTGCTGCGGTCGACGACGACAATAACGGCGGAGATGTGTAGTAGTAGTAGCTGGCCTCGCTGAAAACGCTTCTCGAGACGCTGGTGGACGCGTTTAGCTCGTATTTGTAGTTGTTCAAGGTGCCGTACAGTGTAACGGCACTACTACGAGATGTAATGATTAGCAAACAGGAACGAGCAGGAACCAGTATGTGTGGCGTTGCCCTTCCCGCCGCCATCTCTTTTCGTTAGCGTTAGCAGTCGGAGACCACTTCCGGACCACGACCGCTCAACCCCGCGGAGACCCCTCTTCACTGCCATTCCCCAGTGGCCGGCCCACCGCAACCCACAGCAACCCACCGCAACCCACCGTGTGGAGTCGTTCCTCCCCTTATTGTCTTTTGTCATCGCCACACTTCTTTCTACCATCCACAGGCGATTCTAGTATATGTTTTGCAATAAAATTCCCGCGCCCCGCTGCCGCACCCTGCCACCCCTGCCATCCCTCCATCCCTCCATCCCTCCATCCCTGCCATCCCTCCATCCCGCCACCCGTGCCACCCCTCCACCAGCTTTCTTCCGACCCCCGGGCTGCCGCCACCGCCTGCTCCAGCCCTCGCTCCTGCGTCACCTCCTACCCCACCCTGGAGCTGGATGGACTCCTGCTCGTGTGGATGGACGACAGCAAGGAGGGAAGGCAGCAGGCGAAGATAGCTCCGAAACCCAAGCTGCTTGAAGATGGCGCCAAACCCATCCTGGACTCGTGGTTTGCGAACGAGATGCCCGTGGATTATACGTAAGCACGTTCCTTAGCGAACCGGAATGGTTCTTTTTTGAAATTTCAAATTATACCTCTCTGTTGGATCTCTAGTACTGACTACATCTCTAGTAACGGTTACATGGCCCATATCCATTTATCTCGAACTGCCTAACTACCTAACTACCCAACCAAGTACCGAACTACCGAACCCCCCTCGACCCTCCTTCCCTCCCATTGCCATTCCTTTCCTTCCTCTTCTCCTTCTTCTTGTTCTTCTTGTTTTGTTTGTTTCCAGGTATTGGCTGGAGCAGGGCATGGACCCCTCCCACGCCAATTTTCTGCACCACGGTGGTGAGTTTTATCTGGGGGTCAATCGAGCCAGTCCATCAAGCCAGTCAACCAAGCAACCAGTTAGCTGAACTCATACATGCATTACGGCTGGAGAACCAATGAACACACCATACACCATTTAAAAAGGTTTCGATCCAACTGCATCAGATTTACAACTTTGACGTTGCGTTACGTTACGTTGTGCGCCCTTCGCACTGCGTCCCGAAACGTGACCCCACGGTGAAAGCGGGTGGGGCGGTTCCTGCAGCCTTTCGACTGGTGGTAGCTCTGCGAAAGTGGCTGCAGTGCGGTGTTGGTCCACTTGTTGGAATAAGTCCACGTGGAGACGCCCTCACGCCCCGTGTTCTCTTCTAATCTGTATCACATGTTGATGGTTATACATATCGTAAGGCCCTTTGCTCGGCACCTTTGTGGCCGATCTGCGGTGGTAATTTTTACCAAATGAATCATGCGATAAAGTCACGGTCAGGTTCGGCCAGACCTGCCACTGAGGCGCTGTTCCCTGGAAATGGAGAGCGCTCTTGTTCATTTGTCGAGCGCTCCGACATGCATGTATATGTATATGGGTTTTTCGGTGATGGCGACTTTGCTGATGATGCCGCACACAACCCACTACATTCCCTCCACCGCGTTCTTTACCTACAGCCCTATTTCGCTCGGAGAACAGCTTGCCCATGAGTGCCAAGTCCGTGAAGGACGTGGACCTGGCGGGTGGCTTCATGTGGGAGCACGGCGCCTACGAGAAGAAGCAGGGCGACATGCGGGGCTTCCGAGAGTTCCTGCCGCCCTTCTGCACCAAGTAAGCAGTCCCTGGTCGCGAGGAAGCCTGGGGGGCTCCATTACATGGGGGGGGGCCAACACATGCAGGCCGCGTGTCTTGGCAGAGTCTGAAGACGTGGCAGGTCCCGGCACATGTACGGCACCGTGGCGACGACTTCGTTAGGTTGCCGTGACTGCCTTCTCCTCCATGCCTGAGATGCGGCCAGTGTGTGGACTCGGAGCCGCTGAACACCTTGGCTTGGATGTGACCTCAGCGCGCCGCTTTTCCTGTTCGTTCCATGAAATGCAGGACTCTGTATCTGATGCCTAATGGGACCGCCACGCACAGCACCATCTTCGTCGTACCCGTACGGCCGGGCGTGTGCCGTACCGTTGGTGTGTTTGCTAGGGGGCCGCCGCCGTCCCATCTGCAGCTTCAGCCACAAGACGCCGCCGCTGACGTCTCGAACAATGTGTCAAAGACGGCGGCGGCGGCGGCGGCGGAGGTCGTCAAGAGGACCGATCCGGAGGCGACATCGGGCGGGGAGAACAACGACAAGAACACGGCGAAGAAGAGTGGAGGGGCTCTTGCAGCCTGGCTGCTTTCTCTGGTTGGGAAATTGCCGCATTGGGTGTTACTCTCCGGCCTCATTACGGACCAAGACCTCGTCATGATGAGCAGGTGGGTCACAGCTTTCGCACTCAGACGGGGGTGAGGGACGGAACGGTCGCCACCACAAACGGAAACAAACGGAATCATGTTGATAATCTCTTCCTTGTATTTCCTGTGCATACAGAAATTCACTGTAGGTGGCTGTAGGTGGCTTGACGAGGGAAATTCACACATGTACACGTGGCGTAAATAGGTGTAGTTCTTCATGGAAGCCCTTGGAAGCGTGGGATATATTCCGCTTACATGCCCTCCACCTCCGCGGTGACCTTCCACGTGCATCGCAGCAGCTTCCATGAGCCGTCTAGGTTGGGGTGGGGGCCGCGACGCGCCTGAGCGACTGTGGCTGATGTCATGTTGGCCCGTTGGGGCCCCTCCTGGGTGACCTTCCGCAGGCAGGAGGTGCTGATGCGCCGTGAAGGCCTCACCGCACGCGACTACAACCTCAACAGCAAGGCGGATGCGGGTGTGGCGGCCGCGAACGTGTGGCTGAAGAAGGCGGGCTATCCGGAGAGCCTCTGGGGCAAGGGACCTGCACCTCAGTCGGGCCCTACGTTCAGCAGCTGGCCCGCTACAGAGCTCTCCCTGGAGCAGCTGCTGTCACGACAGGACAGGCATGTACGACACTGCGCGGTCTGCCAGAGGGGAATGAAGCTGGTGACGGCAGTGTGTACGGCACTGACGGCGGCGGCGGGAGTGGCCGCGGTGGCGGCAACCATCCTGGCGGTTATGGCGGTGGCAAAGGGTGTCGCCGCTGTTGGCGGTTGGGGTTCGTTAGCGGGTGCCGTAGTGGCGGTTGTGGTCCTGGCGGCGTTGGCGGTCCAGGGATGGTCGTTCCGCGAGGAGAGGTTTGTGTCAGGTGCCGCGCAGTGGCGCCGAATAGGCGGGTTCTCGCTGGTGGGCTCAAAGCACCGTTAGTAAAGAAGACGACTGAATGATTGCAACGATGGTTACAGGCGCCCTCCCCAACGCCGCCAAGCCGGCCGTGGCTGTGGTTGGTTCCGGAGCTACCTGCTTTGTGCTCGAGGTTAGAGGATATCTAGCATTACGGCTGGCGATGAGTCTTGTGAAGCCAGGTCATAAAGTTTCTAATCATATTATATTGCCCATCCAATTTATTTGGTAATTTCACCGCCTTTTTTTTGCAAGAACGCCGGTTTTTCCATACCTAGTTGGTGAGTCCTGGGGACTTCCAGGATCGCACATTCCGGCACGAGCACGGTTCGCGTCACACAGCGGTGCTTGGAACGGCAAAGCCTGCATGGGGAATGCCTGCATTGGATTTGGGCTGGCTGGCCATGTGGCCACTAAGAGTGGGAGACGCGGAGGCACTCATTTTTGTATTCCCGTGTCTATGTATGTGTGTGTGTGTGGGGGGGAGCGAACAGACCGTGATCGCCGGAAGGTGACCTGGAGGGGTGAGGGGAGGCAGAGCTGTATGTATGTATGTACGTACGTGATTATGTGAGAGGGCTGGGGCCCGTCCATTGTTGGCCCCTCATCCGTGACTGAGAGCCTTCCATTCCATCCGAAGGAAATACCTTCTTCTTCTATACATGACGTGATGCGGCACGATCCTACTATTGTGGTTGTGCATGTGAGATAGATACATTCCTGCACCTTAACTCGTTTGCTGTTGCCTGTGGAGGCGATATTTTGGCACATTTTGGAGTAATGTTTCAATACCGTAGTGACAGGAAATGTTCGTGATTTTATTGTTCGAGACACCCTCAAAATTACACCCGAAATTATTGGTGAAACTGTTGAATTCGTGAGAAGCCAACGCAACCGAAGCAACGGTGCCTGCAATATTCGTTAATGGGTCCGACTCAGAACGCTTATTGACGCAAAAGCTGGCCAATGCATGCACGGTTATTTAGGAGCGGCAAAACCAGCTCTATCCGTAGCTGGGGCGCCGCGAGCAAGTGTGAAGAGTCCGCATTGAAGGAGTCTTTGTTGCTTAGGCCGCTTGGCCCTCGGATCCATGTCCGTTCAATTACTATGGATGTATATATGGCCAGAAAAGTGGAATTCGACGAGTAATTACTGTGTTGAAGGCATTACACGATTTGGCTTCGGAGCACACATATATTCGTGACGACCATCGCCTGGAACAGCTTGTAATTTATATGTGACATAATTTCGTGATGCCGTCACGAAATTAAAATCACGAACATTTCCTGTCACTACGGTATGTTCGTATGTATACCTTGATTATACACGCCATGAAATGTTTCATTGTTTGCGCGATTTCGAATTTGGACTATTCAAACACACCCTAAGGTCGCTCGGGAGCAGCAAAAGGTGGATAGCATGCCCGGCGGAAAAATTCCATTGGTTGTTGTTATAGTGGTGGTGGTGATAGTGGTGGTGGTGGAGATGCTGGGGTGGCTGGTGAAGTTGATGGTGGGGTTGGGGAGCCTTGGTGGGGTGGATGGGGGTGGGGGGGTGGGGTTGTTATCAGTGTTGGTGTTGTTTTCTTGTGACTTGTGACTTTGCGAGTCGTAAGCCGTACGCAGGAATGCACATCGCCTCGCACTCGCACTCGCAAAATTCGTTTTGCGCCCAGCCGTAAAGCTAGCGCGCACACGTCATCGTACTGCATCCGTTTTGACACTCCTTTGCACGCCACTATGCAGCAAGAGCTTACCGTTCTCTCTCTTCTATAAACCAGATTTTTGCTTGTCGCAGAGGTGAGATCTTTGTTGGCTTTGTTTCCTGTGGTGACATAGAGCAGCAGGCTGGCATGCGTGTCATATGAAACTGTAGGTTGGATAACTAGTGGCTTATTGAAGATCTCAATCTCAAGGTGGGGGTCAGTAATCATTTGCGAGGCGAGGGGTGTTGCGGTGGGTTGTTGTTGTACTTAACGTTACGCGCTTTTGGTCGCGTGGGGATGATGGGTGGATGGACGGATGGATGGACGGATGGATGGACGGATGGATGGACGGATGGATGGACGGATGGATGGACGGATGGATGGACGGATGGATGGACGGATGGATGGACGGATGGATGGACGGATGGATGGACGGATGGATGGACGGATGGATGGACGGATGGATGGACGGATGCATGGACGGATGGATGGACGGATGGATGGACGGATGGATGGACGGATGGATGGACGGATGGATGGACGGATGGATGGATGGACGGATGCATGGATGGATGGAAGCTTCAGGGAGCCCGGCTGCGGGCAGTGGCGGTGCATATAAGGGCGCGCGGTACATGTGTAAGGGCGCGAATTGCCCGCAAGCTGGGAACAGTTCGCTGTTGTCAGTTTGAGGGTGCCTGACGGCTCTGGGGTTGAAGCTGCGAAGCTGCTGCTGTTTTACTATGTCGTGTAAACGACACTTCAGACTGTATGATTGTGCGCTTACCAGTGGCTAAGATGTAGCTGTGGTTTAGTTATTACGGTTTGGCTTCAGCCATGCAAGTGGGGGGAACAGTTCATGGAGTGTCATTGATTTTTACACTTCCATTACACTTCCGCAAACCGCGCAGTGCTGTGCTAGCTACTTTGCCTCCCAAACCCCGGGGTCCCGGGGGAACCTGCATTCGCTAGCGACCAGCCCTTCACCAGTAATAGCACAAACGGGCCCCCGGCAGGAGGGTAGGATCCGGGCTGGAATTAGGGAGGAGCTCTGTCGCAGAATTAGCCTGGATTTTATTCCTGACAAAAGAATTGGTCTGCCGAGGTCTGGAATTGTTCTGGCGGACTCGCCGGAGGTATTCGAATTGCGCTGTGGAGCCTCGGAATTGGGCTGTGCTGGGCCTGAATTGGCCTGTCCGGGTGTCGAATTGGCCTGTCCGGGTGCCGGATTGGCCTAACAGGGTATTGAATTAGCCTGACAGGGTATCGAATTGACCTGTTCGGGGTGTCAAATTGGCCTGACAGGTATCGAATTAGCGTGTTCAGGGTGTCGAATTGGCTGTCAAGTTGGCAGGATTGGCTCGGGCTGGCATCCAAAAGCACATGACTTTTAAGGAATTTACAGAAAACTTTGCAAGAGGACCGCTTACAAGTGCCTCATGTGCGTATTAGTTTCGATCCCACGACATGGAGTGGGAAAACTTGCACACCTGGTTACCGTACTCCGGCACTACTACTACTACCGGAGGCAAGCACTCAGGGCCACGACTGCATTACCCAGTCAAGTCAGCCGCCGAGGTCCCACTGTTTTCCCACCACACTTCATCGGCAGTTCGTCCAGTTTATCCCACAACACTCGTATGCATGAATAGGTTCGGGTGGAAACAATGACAAATCTCTGATACACCGCTAAACTCAGTACCACGAGCTACATTGAAAACAAATGAAAATGCAGATGTCTGCCGAGAAGAATATGTTCACCATATGCAATCTATGCCTTAATCCATCGAGCTCTCCGTTGGGCGGGGCATGGCCCATGAAGTCGCCCCCGGTATTCCGCCCATGCAACCAAACAATGACACAAAACGTTGCACGCCTGGGCCCATGTAAACCACGACACTTCCGTGTGAATTGGCTACCTGCGCTCCCCATGTCAGGGGTCCTCCCTCCTGCTGTTGACTCCCGGATTGCCCACGCACAAACGCCAAACGTTGGCGCAGAAAACAGACAGGCCATTGTAGTATGGCATCAAACCACGCCTAAGGTACGCGGGCCTGCTGTGGGGTACATTAAAAGCCAGGAGCATGGCCATGCGTTCACGGGCGAATGACTGGTACCAAATAGGATCAGCAATGTCGACACTGTAACACGTGCTGCAGGCGCCAGCTCATCAACCCCCGGAAGATGATGATGATCGGGCCATACCTCATCAGCTTCCCTGCACTGCGCGCGCTGAGCAAGCGCATGCCCCATGTCAACATCTCGTCCCAGGATCTCAACTACAAGGACAAACAGAACCAGCGCGCCACTCTCAAGTAGGCTCTATCCAACCTGGAATTAGGTACAGACTGGTTTGTGGCTGACTTACCGCCATTCACTGACAGACAGGTTGGCCGACCTCGATATGGATCCCTCAACTGGAAGCGTCAAGGCAGTCAGTGTGCTGCATGACGCACTGGAGACAGGTTCACGCAGTCCGGTTGGCGGTGATGGTCCTATCGTTGACGGCTCGTATTATGCTACCTTCCTCTATGTGACGTTCATGCATTATTTAGTAGCTGGCCGCTGAAAAGGCCTCTCGAGATGCTGGTGGTCGTGCTATGCGTGTACCAGCTTACTGTGCTTACTGTGTACCAGCTACTACAGCTACATTGTGCCGGGCCACACTACTGCAGGGCAGGCGCGTGTGCTTACATTTCTTGT